AAGTATTGTTGTCTCTGAATGAATTACAAAGCGAGTTCTTCAGCAATCACTGAACATACTCAGTGAAAAGATCGCTGGAACTGAAAATATAGAAACTAAAATACATCGAAAGGAAAAAGGGATTATCATCAAATCACTGAGAGAGAGGATCAACAAAGTCCACCTATAGGCGTGGGCAACAAACTCACCAAGAATTGTCTCTCCTCTAATTCTAACATTCAATTCCAAAAACACTCTCGAATCAAAACTTTATCATCATAGGCTACCTCTACCACCTAGCATCTCTTAAAGGGCTAATAAGGATAATGAATTACTTGTAGAAAGAATTTGATACAAATGAGCGATTAGCACACAAACTGAACAAGAGACGAGCAGGTATGGAGTTTACTAGGAACATAACCAATACTACACTAGGGCCACCTTTGCTTCCTTGGTCATCATTTGGAAAGCTCATCTTGGTGCTCTTGGTGGATTCTCCTTCTTTGTCGAGTTTTCGCTTGAATTACAATGGTTACTCCCTGTCAACTTTGGGCAATCTCTCTTGATGTGCCCTGGTTCAGGACACTCGTAACAAACCGACCCTCGGATGGAGCATCTCAGCTCATGTGGTACTTTTTCCCGTATTTGAAGCATTTTGTTGGGTTTGTGTTGCGTGAGCTGGAGTGTTTACGCTCACACCTGTGGCATTATATTGCCTCTTGACGGAAGTCGACATCCTTATTCCAGAAAAATTTTAAAATTTTCTTGCGGGCTTGAGTTGCCCTTCCCATTTCCTCATCTCTTGAACCAACACTCGTTCCTCCTTACCTTGAGCTATATCGTCTTCACTTAGTTGTGCTTTTTCCATGGCCTCCTGGAGGGTCACACCTTATAATTGTGTACCGACATTTTTATCTCAGCCGGTAAGCCCTTTAAAGGAAGCCTTGACTTTTCATCCATGGCTAGATGCCCCACAAGATCGAGATTCTTAATAAACAATCTAGAGTATTCGTACATAGACTTATCTCTCTCCTTGAAAGCTCGGAACTCATCTCCTATATTATTTATGCTATCTCATTGCAATATTAATCCAAAATCTTTCCCTTGAATACTTCGTATGTGTGAAGTGGGATGACAACGACTCCAAGGGCGGACTTGGTGACATTCCATCACCTAAGGTATTGTCCCCTTAACATCTGTGAAGCATACTTCAACTTTTGTCATTCACCATAATCACTAGAGTCGAAGGCCTGCTCGATCTCTTGGATCCCATTCATGCATGTAATCGGATTGGTGGTTTCCAAGAACTCAGGTGGTTTGCTACATAAGAACGTCTTATATGAGAAAAAAAATTTCCCCTTGTCTAAACTCAACAACCACTTGCTCTTCTTTGCCATTAGCATTCGTGACACCTTTGGATCCAACCACAACATTTTTCGCAACCTCATGCCTTCGGTTGCTGACATATCTATCTTCCAACATCTTCATAAACCGTTTTTCCCCTATGTCCATGGTAGAGTTCATTGCCTATAGAATAACGGCCGTAATTACAGACTGAGGGTCTATTTTCTGAATAACCGGGTTATCGGTGTTCAAATCCGTCTATGGCTCAACATCAATCCTACCACTTATTATTGACAGAATTTGAGGGATTTGTATGTTCTCAACTTGCCTTGGTTGTTCTCGAGCTGACACACTTGCATCGTTACAATCATCTTAGGCTCCTTGTCGACTTCGTGTATTCATCATGATTAACTGTCACAGGCATGAAAATGATCATGCCAGTTATATCTTTACATGATTAATGATTGTAACGTTCGACTACATTCATCAATCATCATAACAATAATAATTTCAAGTATGTTTATGTAATAATATATTCATAATAGCATGGACCATATGAGATTGTGAATATATCACATGCAACAATTCTCGCTACCATCATTATAATTTTCAATTAGTGTATTTCCGTTATTCCTATTGCTCTCACTCAATCTATATCTTCTACCTGATATTAAGGGATTTGCCACTAAAATTCATAGCTTAAGTCTACGAATACTAACTTCTTACCTAGTTCACTTAAACTAAAGCTTTGATACCAACTTGTAACACCTTAAAAAATGGGGACAACAAAATTTTCCATAAGTAAACCAAAAATGTGGTATAGAATATAAATTTATGAGCTTTACGTAAAAAGGGAACAATATATACTAGTTAAATACAATTGTAAGTAAATTGGTTTGATTCTAATAACCACCTAATCTAATCCTTGAAGAACTAGGTTATGATCGGGTATCAACCCAAACCATCAAAAGACTATAATAATGTATGGCGTCCCAAAATGATCCCAAAAGCTCTCTCTACAAGGATCGGTCAAGCCTGCTTAGTGATCCATCCACTAGAACCTCAGATATATATCGACATAAAACAAGTGTTAGGCCAAAAATCCTAGTGAGCATAAATGATAAGCATCAATTTAGTTGATGTTTTCCACCAGTTTTTAGTAGTTCTGGGTTATTTTAAATCTCCAAAAAGTCCAAATGTCAAGTATTTTTGTTTTTAAAACTTATATTGCTTAAAAATATGATAAGTAGAAAATAAGATCGTAAGTACCCAGTTTTAGCGCTGAATTTTTGGGTTAAATTGCTTAGTTGCAGGAATGATGTTGCTGGATGTGCTGCAACACCTTGGAATTCAATTTTTAAGGCAACCGCCTTTTTTGATCAAGTTGGGCAAGTGGAATTAGAAATGGACGGTGGGGAAGAATCTTCATTATCTCATTGAAGCTTAGCCATAGATGGGTTTTGCAAGTTGTCAACTTGCAACCCTCCTTTCTATATAAATAAATGATCCTTTAGTTATAGGGGGAACGGGAAACCAAGCTTCATATATTTTGAGGGTGGCTCCAGTAGCACCCATCTTTCCTTCTCTTGCTCCATATATATATATATATATATATATATATATATATATAGGGGAGCAATCAAATGAAAACCACTCAATTTGTAAAAACCATAAAAACCTCATTCCACCAATCATAATTTTTCATTTTGTTCATTTTTTTGTAATTATGAGAGGTTGATTAATCATTTTTATTATGGACAATGTTAATCATAAATTATCATCTTCATTATTTTAATTTTAGAGAAATACATAAAACAGTTTCATTAAAATTTCATTAAGTAGTATATGAAACAATTTCATAACAATATATGAAAAACTTCATCAAAAAAGTATTATATGAAACAATTTCACAACCTTAGCTTAACTTACTCTCGTCATTTATTTTAATTCTTTATAGTTTTTAGTTTACGGTTATTTTAATTTTTAGTTGTCGTAAAACTTTCTTTTTATGCAAATTTCTTTTCTCGTTTTTAAAATAGATATGCAAGGATCCCGAGCGATGATAGGCTGACAACCTTAGCTTGGGTGTAGGGTAACGTTAAGACGAAAGATCGAATTTGATGATAGAAATTTGTTACAAATCTTTCCAACAACTTATTCAAGGTTATATTGATAAAACATTACATCTCTTGACAAGTTGATTTTTACAGAAAAATGTTAATAGTTTAATGGACTTAGAGATAAACCATCCCGAACTCATTAACTTGAATAATACGGAAGTATACTCGATAGAGTTACTTAGAATCAAGGAGACTTGTTTCATTCCGTACAGCTTATACAAGGGATAGATTGTGCCATTGTCGTAACTGATTTTATTTTGGAAACATTAGAATCTGTCCTTGGATAAGTGCCCTTCTCAACCTCGAGAGAGTGCCTTACACAAGCTGATGGTTGGTTAAAGATGAGTTATTATCTATAAAATTCTATCTGATTTATTTATCCAAAAATCTTAACTGATCCCTACACCCTTGCTTTCTTTTAGATTAATTATTTGCATCATTTAGTTTAAAGTTACCAAACCAAAAACAATTCTTCAAACTCGTCATCTGAAATCTAATCTTTTTCTGGACTTTATCTAAAACTTTTAATGATATTCGGTATCTTACCGTTTTTATTACTTATAAAAGGCGACAGTGGGTTGACACGTGTATACTTGCATGGGTCTCCATTTGCACACAGTCTGAGAGATTTTATCTTTGTATAAATCTTGCAACAAGTTTTTGGGGCAAAGCTAAAAGTTTTAATAAGTAAATTAAAAGATTTGATTTTTCTACCATTTTGTCACTAGTTTCTGTGTGGTGCATGTCAAGGCTACCACACCGGGTGATTTTTGAATTTGATCCTGACATTGAAAAGACTTTTAGACAAAGAAGATGAGCGCAAAAAGCATTAACTGCTTTAGCCTCTTCCAAAATGGCTGAACTAGTTGAAGATCAACCTCCCCTAATTGACACTGAAAAATCATCAAGCTGACAAATTCCAAAGGTGGAAGAATTATGGACTATGCCATTCCGGTTTTTGATCAATTGAACTTAGGAATAGCTTGACCAAAAATGGACGCCCTTCATTTTGAGCTAAAACTAGTGATGTTTAATATGCTGCAAACCAATGGCCAGTTCAGTGGTTTGCCATCTGAGGATGCACACTCGCACTTAAAATCTTTTTTGGAAGTAACTAACACTTTCCGACTCACTGGAGTACCTGAAGATGCTTTAAGACTTATATTATTTTCTTTTTCTTTTAGGGATAAGGCAAAGTCTTGGTTTAATTCATTGCCAAACAAATCAATCGAGTCTTGGAACAGCGTGGCGGAAAAAATTTAAAAAAATTATTTTCCTCCAACTCGGAATGCGAAGTCCAAAAACGAAATTTGTCTTTTTAAACAAATGGACGATGAGGCAGTTCCCGATGCTTGGGAAAGATTTAAAGAGCTTTTGAGAAAATGCCCTCACCATGGCATTCCCTACTATATACAGCTTGAGACGTTTTACAATGGTTTAAATACCACTGCAAGACAAACGCTCGATGCTACTGCACCGCCGGTAGTTACAATGATGGGTATGATATTCTGGAAAAGATTTCCAACAACAATGGTCATTGGACTGATCCACGTACACAAGTACCTCGCAAGACAGCTGGAATTCATGATGTTGATGCTTTTACAACATTAACGGCACAGATGACTGCGATGACCAATTTATTAAAAAATTTAACAACCGGCCAAGTAGCACAATTTGTCGCCACAACATCCACTCCAACTGTCGAGTCAGTACAATGTGTGTATTGTGGTGAGGGACATTCCTTTGAATATTTTCCATCCAACTAAGAATCAATAAATTATGTGGGAAATCAAAACAAAACAAGACCATTTTCTCAAACATACAATGCTGGGTCGAGACAACACCCAAATTTTTCATGGAACAGTCTTGCTTTAAACCCACCAATGAACAAACCACAAGAGACCTCTAGTTTTCAACCACCACAACAACCTCAACACCAGTACCAAAGCCAGTCTCAAACTCTCACCAGCAGAATTTTCATCAACAACCGAGTCCATCAGCTTTTCATAATAAGCCTAACCAGCAAGTTGAGTCACATAGAAGTTTTGAAAGGGTTCATAACCCAAACCAACTCAGCCATGAACCATCAGAATGCCAGAATAAGATCACTAGAGACACAAATCAGTCAACTTGCATTTAAAATAAGGAATAGACCTGCAGGTACCCTTCCTAGTGATATAGAGACCCCAAGGCCTATAATGAAGGAACATGTGAAAGTAGAGACTTTAAGGAGTGGAAATGAATTGATAGAAAGTGAACCTTTGAAAAAGACTGTTGAGTCATCCAAATCACCAATTGAAAATGATGTCACAACACCCACTCTGGATGTTGCTACACCTATTTCGAAAAATAAGAGCATGTCAGTAGACATAGGGACACTCCCTAAGAAAGTTGAATTCCCCTTAGTATTTCCAAATGAGGGCAAAAAGAAGGTGTCATTTCAGGATGAAACTTCAAACTCTTTCACCAACACCGACACTCCTGGCACATCACCTGTCACTCCCATAGTCAAACCAACCAACACTCAAGCATCTTTAGATAAGCCCCCTAAGAAAGACATTGTAGCTCATATTCCTCCTTATGTACCTTTTCCACAAAGGTTGAGAAATCAAAAAGAGGAGCTACAATTCAAATAGTTCTTTGATGTGTTCAAACAGCTTCATATCAATATTCCGTTGGTTGAAGCTATTGAACAAATGCCAAGTTATGCAAAATTTCCTAAGGACATTTTAAGCAAGAAAAATAAGTTAAGTTAATATGAAACTGTTGCCTTAACAGAAGGTTGTAGTGCCCTCCTTTCAAACAAAATTCCCCCTAAACTCAAAGATCCAGGGAGTTTTACTATTCCCTGTTCAATAGGTGGGAAAGAGATAGAAAAGGCCTTGTGTGATTTAGGAGCTAGCATTAACCTCATGCCATTGTCTGTTTTCAATACTTTCGGCATTGGAGAAGATAGACCAACCACAGTCACCCTTCAGTTAGCTGACAAGTCCATAGCTCATCCGAAAGGGAAAATTGAGGACGTGTTAGTCTAGGTGGATAAATTCATTTTTCCTGCTGACTTCATTATTCTTGATCTTGAGGCTGATAAAGACATTCTAATCATCTTAGGAAGACCATTTTTGGCTACTGGAAGAACTCTGATAGATGTACAAAAAGGTGAGCAAATGTCACTTTTAATGTGTTTAGTTCTATGAGATATCCTGAAGAAAGAGAGGAGTGTTCTACATTGAGCATTCTTGAGTCTTTGTGCCAAAAAGATGGGATTGAAACAATGTTACCCCGAGCTCATTCTTGAAGACAAGTCCAAGCTCGGGTTGATTTAAGACTGAGGCAGATCTTTTCTCCTGCAGGCTAGGGAAGTCTTCATTTGGTGGAGCGTAGGAGAGTCTTTCGATGCCTAAGCGAAGAGCAATTTCAAAATCACTCTTGGTTTGATGCTTTACCAGGGTCTCCATTGTCTTCACAACCGCTCTGTTCTCCATCCCAAATTTGATGCCATGATCCTGTCGCTGAGCCGCGTATGCATAAAGTTCAATCAAGTCGTAGGGATTGAGGTTGATCAGGTCATTATCATTGAATAAGCTGATTTGACCATGTCCTCTTTCCACTGTGTACTCGATGTATCTTATGGCTCTGTTGGCAAAGGTCCTCATTTTTAGGTCCATAACCCTCCTAATCCCATAGTTTGAGAAGACAGCATGTGGTGCTTGGGTGGTCTGTCTAATAAACCTATGGTGTAGGAGGTCCATGGATTCGGGCGATAAAACCGGAGGATTGAGCGTCAAACTTTCATCGCGGTCGTGATACAAGTATTGATGGATATTTTCCATCATTATGGGTTCCCTGGGTGGCAACTCTGGACGTCTCCGCAGCGACTCCATATTCTGAATAATTTCATCGACTAGGCTCTGCAGAGGTTGCGTAGACAAAGAGGGAATATCCGCTTGCACCATGGTTGGCTGGGTTGAGAGTTGTGTATGGGTTGGTGAAGGTATGGTTTCTAGTTGGGTTGGTTCAGCTTGGGTTGGTTCTGGTTCATTGGGTTCATAATGGGTGGTTCCTGGTTCATGGGGATCTATTTGGGTTTGAGATTGTTGGGGTGAGGAAGGTTGGATTATTGTTGGTTCTGGTTGTATGGATAGGGTGGTGAAGGGTTCTATGGTGCGAGGGGTTGGTGAAGGAGTTAAGGGTAGGTTTGGTGTTGGTGATGGAGTAAAAGGTGGGGTGGATGGATTTTCATCGATTGAGGAACTCAACACGATGGGTTCTTGGGTAGTAGCAAAGGGAACATGTACATTTTGTACATCTTTAGAGGGCTGAGCCTCTGGTTCCCTTGCTTGGGTTCCTTCGGTTGTGGGTGGTGGTTGTTCTTGTGTTTGTGGTGGTGGTGGTGGTGCAACGGATTCCATTTGTTGAGCAGTCGTGGCCTGATCCTCCCCCTCATGAGGTCCAAGACCTTGATCATCGGGGTCTTGGTCCTCATGTCGAGGCCTCTTTTGCGGGCGGCTGCTGGAGCACGAGGCTCTGCTCCTCTTTTTCTTTTTCTCCTTCCTGAAGGACGCAAGATATTCCTTTAGGGATGCTTGTCTTCGGCTCTCCTCCATTGTGTGAAGGAGAGAGATGGTGCGCCTTTGTTCATTAACAAGGTTCTGGGAGAGAAACCTGGCTGAATGAATAGCGCGATGAACGAATCTTGCACTTATCTCATTGAAGGATGAGACAAGTGCCTTGGACAGAGCCCTCAGATCGGCTTTGGTAGCGAACTTCGTGCTTGATGATGAGGCTTGTGGTGGCACGGAGGTGGTGGTGGATGTAGATGGAGGAATGGGAAAGTTGGCTATAAGATTTCTCACCTCTACAGTGAAGGATGTGAAGGCTGCATCAAATAATAGGCCTGCAGAGGGAGGTGGGGTTGGAGTAGGCTATGGGATTTGGGCTAGTATTTTGGCGGGAAGTTGGGTGAGGGTAGTTTGTATGGTGGCCATTTGGTGGGTAGGGAGGCAAGGGTTTCATCAATTGATGAAGTGGTCTGAGGTGGGGCTTGTTGTGGGATTTGGGAGGTGATGGTGGTTGGTAGGATGGTGTTTAGTTGGGTAATGTAGGTGAGGTTCTCATCGGCCTCAGTTGCCTGGGCCGTGAGGGTGGCGATGGAGTGGATGAGGATTTGGTTTCTTTGGGTGGCAAGGGAGGATGCGGTGTTGTGGTGTTGGGTGATGGTTTGCTGAAGCATTTGGAGACGTGTTGTATTATCTCGGGTTTGGGTTTCAAGTTGGGAGAGGTGTCGTTGAAGGATAGCAAAGGATTGTTGAAGGTCGGTGTTATTGGTTGAGGGTGGGTTGTCAACAATCCCTTGAATGATGAGTTTAAGGTCTTCCAAGGACCGCAGAACGGAGTCAACAAAGGCTTGGAACTCGGCCTTTGTGACTAGGTCGACAATGGGGGTAACCCCTGCAGCAATGGATGCTGCAGGTTGAGCCTCTGCTCCTGAGGCGTCTTCATGGCCTTGTGAAAATGTGGGCCGTGAAGGACTTCCATCATGTCCTTGATAGCCCTCAAGTGAGGAGCTATCTCGTGATGTTGCTACATCGGCTTCCTCTTCCTCGGCTTCAGAGACCGGGTAAGTGAAGCGAATGTGTGTCCCCTTCGGTGATACCAATTGTTGATCCCATATCTCTCAAGAACACCAATAATCGAGTTAAAAATAACCAAATTATAGTGTTTTAATGAACAAAGTGATGAACAATCAAGAATAAATTATGAACATCAAAGAATAATCTTGAGTGTCAAAGGTTTCACTTTATTAATAGGAAAAACGTAAAAGCGACATATAATACAATAGGCCTAATCACCTATTTATACTAGTAAGCTAATTAGAAGATAACTATCTAGTGAGACTATTTAGCTAATCTTCTATTAACAAATAATGTTTATCAAAACTATTGATAAGTTATAATATTAAGATAAACTTGAAATCCAGCTGTCGACTTGTCATTTCCAGCTGTCTTTCATTGGATGATGAATCAACCTTATCTTCATATCTTCATCGTATGCCTCTGGTTGAATTGCTGAAGAAAACTCTAAGTGTTGTTGACCAGAGAGGTGATGAAGATGCTCTTTCCATCGCATCTCTGGTTGTTCATCGACCATCTGGTTGTTCTCTAGACTTAGTCAATTCTGTCTTGATGTCTTCATCGGTCTTCTGGTTCTTCATCACTTATTGTTTTTCATTACTTTTATCCTTTATGAATTATGGAGTCTAACAATTAATCTCAAAGAAAGATGTTAAACCAAGGTTAATAAGATGGGTTTTATTGTTACAGGAATTTGATCTTGAGATTGTAGACAAGAAGGGAGTGGATAATTAGGTTGCTGATCATTTGTCTAGACTTGAGAAAAA